GGAAAATTATTTTTATCCTACATATCAACTATTTGATTACTAGTAAGTCAAATCCGGTGCCAAGTTTGCTGCCAAAAAAGTGGCACGCCGTTTTGAATGCTAAACATTGGCAAGCCCTGACCTGAAATCTTCCAGTTTGCCCAAACGCGCTTCGGCCGCCAGCAATCCCCAAATTTTAGCGAACTCGGAAGTATTTCGGGTCCAGGCTTGCCAATTTTCAACATTCAAAACGGCTTGTCAAGTGCACCGGCTTTGCAGTGTTGCCTGCACTGCACTTGCAGAGGGAGGGGAGGGGATTCCGAAGGAGGAGAGGGGTTTCGGGAGGGAGGGGAAGGGTGGGGGGCGGGGGGGAGCAGCCCGCCCTGCTCGCCCGCCTTGCTTCGGGTTAGTCCAAAAAGAGTCCAAATCTAGTCGTCGGAAAACACCCGAAACTTTGCCGGATTTCTAACATTCTGGATGTCAGCCGGACCAGTCCGGTGGAACCGTTTTCGGACATAGCCCCCGCTCGGGCTTTTTTTGGAGCCTTTCTTTTTCATATGGGACAGTAAATTTTTCTGCTTGATCATAACTGTAGTTGCAGAAAATATTATCAACAGACCACTTTTCTGTAAGGTTGCTGATTATTTTTTCTGTACTTACAATCAAAAGGACTACAATTGCAGAAAAATAATTAAACTGTAGGTTTACTGAAAAAATGTCCGGGAGTGTCGGAGAGTGACCTTTTTTGTCTTGCCCCCAAATTTGGGGGCCAAAAAAATTCCCCGACCCCCCGGGAAAAATTTTTGCGACCCCCGCGACCCCAACCCCCAAAAATCCCCCCCCCCCCCAAAAAAAAAAAAAATATAAATAACAAGCCATTTTTGAAAAAAAATTATATAAACTTCTGAAAAAGAAAAATAGACATTTCTATATCAGGTTTATTGGGATCACAGTTACGATCAGTGGCTGCCTTGGGCCTGCACTTTGGAGACTATCTTGGAGAAGCGCGGTTCGGAATTCCTCGCCACCCGTAGGTCACTCTCCACCTCAAGGCGGTTCCTATGTTTGTCCTTAATGCAGATCATATCTGAAAATGTCGACTCTGCTAAGTAGGTGGTTGCAAATGGCAGCAGAACCCGGATGGCTGCGGCAGAGACCCTTCCGAGAAGGATTTTCCCGCTTGCTCGCTCACGGTGCTTGCAGACCGCCAAACGTCCGTGCAGCGACAAACAAGCAGTGGGTTTTCCAGTTTCCGCGAATTTAAGTTCTCGGCAGTGCTTGGCCTGGCGGCCAGCCGGGAACTCCCCGCGACCCCAGGCGACCCCGGCCACCTCGCCGCGACCCCACAAAAATTTTTCGCGACCCCAAGGTTGAGAACCGCTGCCCTATGCTAATGCATGGGAATGGGGAGGCTTTGCACTTCATGTGCAGTGCTTTTGCATTGCACCAATTGACGGTATACTCATAGCGTTTGGATTCTCAGTACAGTCTCAAAGTCTTCTTTTGAAGATTCCCTACTACACAAGGTAGGTTTACGCCAGACCGCGTCTTGTCGTAACAGGCTTCGCGATGTCTCGCTGCCTGTTCCTCCAATCCGCGCCTGGCGTACCTACCTTGGCCTGCGGCGCTAGCCTGCCTTCGGCAGGCAATGGCTTGTCCGTCGTCGGTTACTTCTAACTGGTTTCTTTCTGGGGGGCTCCGCCCCTTAGACTAGACACCCCTTCATTCTAGGTAGAGATGCTTCAGATAACACGATCTTGACCCTTGGAACTTTTTAACTTGTTGAGGCTGGGGGGCTCGGCCCCCCAGACCCCCTTTCTTCAAGACAGAAGTAATGTGCCTGCGGAAAACTCGATTTTTCGCCGTTTTTATGTGTTTTTCGGCTATAAAAACTGAACCAGTTGAGCTAGGATGGTCAAATTTCGCGTGTGCTGAGCCAAGGACATACCCAAAAAGTGTGCAAAATCTCACCGAGATCGGCCGAGCCGTTCAGGAGGAGTAGTGCGGACACACACGCATACACGCACGCAGACAGGAAAAACTTTTCAACCCCACCTGAGTAACGGGCTTCGCTATCGCTCAGCCAATGAGGGTGATGCAGCTAAATTTGTAACTTACCTTTGCCAATTCATTGTTCCTTATAGATATTTGGAGTGCAATAGCTACAATCGGACTCACTTCACCTCTCCAACTTCAACGGGTTAGATGCCGTGAGCGAAGATCCGCTCCACCGATCAGTTTCAAAATTCCGGACTTAAGGAAAACGCGTTTCTATCACTCTATCTATCTAGGACTCTAGGCAACGACGAAGGCAGCGTCTTCTGCGGCGGTGCGCCCAAGGTGGGCCGGTGAAGCCCGTTCCTGTTGCATGTGGTACTGTCATTCAAATCGGAAGCCATCCACTTGACGCAGCCTATTGTTGACATTGGTTAACAATCTTTTTGCGACCTCATTTCATGAATGAAATTTGACTATGTTATGCCGTAGGTTTCAACTGAACGCTTTTTTATGTAACCAAAGCTTGAATAAAAGTAATTTGAAAAATCATCTCTTGTGCCTCGCAGACAAAGTATACCCGTGGTCAGCTTTGGTGAACAGTTCATGTTGTAGAGGCGGAAGAAAGGGGGGACAGTTAAATTAGAGAACGGTAAATACCCATTATTTACTCAATTTTAATTTTGTACGCAAATGAAAAAAAAAACCCCTTTTTTCAATTTTTTAGAGTTCCCCCCCTTTTTCCCCCTTTTCTTCTGTCTACAACATGAGTTGTTCAAAATTTTTAACAGAAGAAACATAGACTTGTACACACGATTGATTTGGTCTAGCCTTTCAAGTGAAGTTCATTAACTCATGTGTGGTCTAGCCCTTAGTTTTAAATAGTATAGAGGGTAGGCAACCCAAGCACGCACATGCGCACTCTGGCCTGCGGTTCACTGAGAATCCAAACGCTATGAGTCAATGGGTGCAATGCAAAAGCATTGCACATGAAGTGCAATGCCTCCCCATCGCCATCCATTAGCATACGGCATTTTCGGGATGCATTGCACGTGAGGTGCAATATGGCTATCGCATTGCACGTGTGGTGCGATATGTCAGCTGCATTGCACCATACGTGCTATACTCATAGCGTTTGGGAAACGCAGTGTTGCCTATCCGAGCTTCACATGCGCTCCTGGCGGGTGGTTTTCCTTCGCACGCCGAGCGGGGAAGTCGATGTTGACCAGAACAGACGGCTGCGCAGCGCAGGCAAAAACCCCCACCACCACCCCCACCTTTAAAAACGCGATTTGGTGATTTTTCAAAAATTTTTTTTCGCGATTTTTCAGATCCTATGGGCGGGCCCACCAACCCTTTAAGGGTTTTGTTCCACTATGTTAGGAGATCATTTGGTAAAAGTTAGGTCGAAATCAAAGATGAGCTTTTTTTGGGAATGTAATTTTTCGAAAAAATATGACGAAAAATAAAAATTTTGGCATCAAAACTTCACCCAATCGTCTCGAAACCGTTTTCATCGTGTTCCCCAGCTCTTTTTACGTAAAAAACACTGTGGAAAAAAATCCAAAAAAATCTGCCAGAACAGAGGAAATTTAAAAAAAAATCATGTTTTTTGACTAAAGTTTAAACTTTGATATCCGCCCCCCAAAGGGGGTGAGATATCGCAAAACCCTTTGGCGGGGGGTCTTTTTAGGGATAAAACCCCCCCCCAAAAAAAAGGTTTTTCATCAAAATCGGAGAAAATAAATTCCCAAACGTTCTTTGGGTTTTGGCATGGAATCGCCCCGTTAATTTATTACCAGTTTTCACTGTAGGTCAACTCACAGCGTTTACTGTGATCTGCTCACGCGATTCACTGTGATTTTTGTTCACGGTGTTCACTGTGATCTGGTCTACAGTAATCACTGTGATTTGAGGGCCGCTGAGCATCAAAGTACTGCAAATCAGGCCCCAATTCACGGCGTTTACTGTGGCCAGATCACAGTGATCACGGTAACCGAGATCACAATGAACCCCCGTAAACTAGTTCACAGCAAACGCCGTGAATTGCATAACAGCAAACATTGGTAAAAAATTAAGGCTTTTGACAGGACAAATTTTGTGGAGTGCACCGAAACCGGGGGTTTTTGGTTAAAGGATTTTTCCCACGCTCGCCGTAAAGCGGGTTTATTTAGAACTGTTTGACCAAAACTATACCCAATCGCAAAACAGATGTTGGCTCTGTACGCCATACCCATTGACTTTGCTCGAAAAACATTTGACCCCGGGAAAGCGGAAGAAGAAAAAAACCGACTTGTCTCCAAATTGACTTTTTACCCGGGTGGAAGGATCTGTAGTTTGCACTATAACAATATTCTACTGTTTTTTTGTGTTACTGACTCTAGTTAAAACTAACATATTAATTCAGTTAAAATAATGTTTAACTATTGCTGGAGTGCAAAAGAGTGAAGCCCAAAGTACAGTTAAACTGTAGAAAAAGTACCAGTTATTTCGGACAACTATAGTTTTTGGCTACTATAGTTTTGGACAACTGCATTTTACGGCAGTTCCCTTCTCAGTTCTCCCCTTGTTCTCACTGCAGTTCTAGTACATTTTTAAGTTGACTTTTAAGAATAATATCACTGTTTCAAAACTACTTTTCCAACAAAATTTAAAATTTTCTAAATCCACCTGCATACTGCGCAACAGTAAATTTTGCAAAACTTCCAAGTTCTGCAAAATATACTGCTGCGCAGCCTGCAAGTGGATTTAGCAATTTAAATTAGTCAAAAAAGTTTTTTTGAACACTGTGATAAATGACAAAAAATGTTGAAGCAAAGGTTTTCTTGAACAAACACTCTGGTGAATAACATACAATTTTTAATGAACAACAGAGCGGGCCATACAAAACATTCGAAACACAATTTTCTTCATAAATTCCCCTTTTTCAATTATGTAGTTGGTTATCTGCAATGAAACAAAAGCAAGGCATGGATAAGTTAATGCAAGTCTGGCAAACTGATTGGGAATTTGACACGGATTAATTATTTCCCCAAAAGTCAAGTCCAGTTTCATGGTGAAGAATGCCATTCTCAAGTCTCCAGCCAAGCAACATGCAATCTTATATTTGTCAGTGAGTGTGTTACAGCATCTGTTTGATAGGGAAAAAAAGAAACAAATAAATAACTGGCAAAGAAAGGGAGAAGAAGTTCTGTATAACAAATATTTAGTCTTACAAATAAATTCATTCCACAGTTAACTACGTTTTCAAAATGAGGCTGTTGCCACTTGCCAAATCCAGTCGAATAGGCTGCAGATGTGCTAGTACTTGTCGTTTACTTAAAAAAATAGATTTCGCTTAGAAAAAGAAGGGAAAAGGTTTATCTCTCCTTTGCTGTCTTTCACAACCCAGAATCTACAGACTAAGGCATTTTCACAGCACTGCAGTCATTACAAAATCATGAGCACATCTACCAATTATTTTAAAAAATAGCTATGTAAAACTTCTTGTTGTTGGTAATATATTTTCATTAGAAAATTTACCAGAGAAGTATTTTAATGATTGTGTAATTTCATAACTTCTACATCTGTCAACCAGAAGCGGAGAAAGAAAGTAAAGTCTAGTTTAACCAATTCCGTTCAAATAGTAAGCGCAAGATGTTTAATTTTATAAACGACAAATATTGGCACAATACAGTATCTTCGACTAAGTTTAAAGATAGCAGGTCTCTAAATTTTCAAATTGTAATCATTACTCTGGTCAACATTAAACAAACGTGCACAGAGGGGCCTCTCATAATGAAAACAATTCTCTTCACTAGGCCAGACCAGAAATAAAACTCCTGACACAGTTGAAGTTAAAAATTAAATGGAGATTCAAAAACACTCACCAAGCATCGGAAACGTTCAGCAGCCAACTCATGGTTACTCCAGGACAGATGTTAGAACACCAGTAGACAGATGTGAATGTGAAGCCACCCCCGGGCTGCTAAGTTGAAACCCGTAAATTGAACTTGAACGCCCAACATCCTACAAATTACAGAGAAAACTCAGATTACACAGAACCAAAGTTAAATTTTCAAAAAACAGATCTTAATAAAAATTTGATTTGCATACTTATTGGTCCATAGGAATCCGTAAACAGTTCGTAGCATCATTGCAGTTGCTTGGAGTTCTGGGACAGTTGTGTACAGAGCAGGAGGTTAAGTCAGACCAGACCTGTCGCGTCGCTGCCGCCCGTCGCCGTCACGGTGAGCACGACTGCTGAAATAATGAACATTTGCGTCACTAAGAGAGTTTTTCTCTGTAAAACTAACAACGCACTCGCACTAATAATAAGAAGTATTGAGCTACAGAGAATGTGCTGAGAATACACACAGAACACTGGACGACTTTGCACTGGAACCACAACTGAAACTGATACAATTTCAAACCAAAAACCTACCTCCTCTGTGATAATAGCACTTCCAAACTGACATGGTAACCACCGTGATGTTTGCGGCCCAGACTTTTTCAGTAAACACTAAAACGTTTGGCTGACGACACGAACATGAAAGCTGAAGACGCCATCTTGGAGCGACTGCCGCTCGCTCGTCTCGGCCGGCGGCGCCAGTGTCGCCGGGTGCTCCGAATCGCCGAGAGGGGCGCTGCAATCGCCAAAACGCGCCACGGGCTCCCCCAATCGCCAAAAATCGACGCAAAAATCGCCAATCTTATGGGCATTAACACTCGAATGTTTACAAGCCACAGCCAGAATCCCACCACTCTAAGCTCACTTCGACAAATATCGCCACAAAAATCAGCGAGTCGACACCGTCATTTGTTTCGGAACCGTGAAGTCCGACTCGTTCGGCTCCCGAGCGCGCCAATGTTCGGTTCGGTGTTCCCGAAGGTCCGTCGGAAACTGGAGAGACATGTGGATATGAGTTTAGCCACACAAAGGAACTCTTACCCATAAATTAAGATACAAGTATTAAAAAAAAAATTTTTTTTTTATTTTAAATTTTCAATGACCTTACTTTTTTTTCATACTTAGCTCAAATTTTTTAGAAATTTAGATATTTGGACCCTTTTGTTGTCATACAGAACTGAAGATGAACTTCAGTGCAAGGTGTTCTTTAAGAATGTATCCCCGCATTGCTCTTATTTACACTTTTTACTGAGTCTTCACTACTTTCAGAAATACTTTCGAATCTGAACACATCAAATCAAAAGGGACTGCAGTAAAAATGTAGATTATTTTACAATTACGGAGTGCAGATCTTACTGTGATGACGCAAAAAAGTTAAATCTGTAGTTCTTAGTCACTTTTGGCTGCAGTTTCCCGGGCTACAGTTTTGTCTACAGTTCAAAAAAAAAGTCCCAAATACAGGTTACCTTATTATTTGCCTCTGGATGGTTTTTCATCATTAGACCAAATTGTTTGACCCAATTCCTAAAAGTTTAGGAGAAAATCCACATGAAAAATGGATATAAATCAACTTGGCCCCTTTTATGGTCTAAATTTTTTCGGAAAATGGAGGTAACTCAACCGAAGTCCACATAACTCCTTTGCACAAAATGGCGAAAGGAGATAACTCAACTTGTGTCTTTATGAATCTTACTCGCGACGCTCGGGGGGCTCCGCCCCCAGACCCCCGCACAAGTGGGGGGCATACCGAAGTATTTTTGTAAGTCCCTGGTGACCAGAGACAAATTTTTTAAGTAAATGTACTGCTTCTTTTGGGGGGTCTATTTAACTGCTTTAGACCATATATATATTTAAGCTACTATTACTGCCCAAGGAGATAGGTTCTTGATTGATATATAGGTTCTTGACTCGCGCTGCTCGCTGGGGGCTCCGCCCCCAGACCCCCGCATGTGTGGAGCGCGTGCCGAAGTATTTTCAGTAAGCCCGTGGTGACCAAAGGCAAATTTTTTAAGGAAGTAAATGTCCTGCTTCTTTGAAAGCTCTATTTAACCGCTTTTGACCATATAATAAGGCTACTTTTACTGCCCAAACAGATAGCTTGTATTGCATTGGCTACTGTGGCAGTCATTGGGTGCATACAAGGTCCGGAAAATATCGAAGACTGCTTTGACAAGGATAGAGGTGAAAGGAAAAAACCTTTGGTCTCTACGACCACTCCTTGACCGCAAACATTTCTTTGCGTGAGGAACTGAGTGAGTGAGTCAGTCAGTCAGTCGGATTGGGGCTATATAGATTCTTGATGATGATTGCCCAATTGCCGGTGGCGGGGTCCCGATTTCGGCACAGTTTCGGAAATTCTCGACCAGACCTACCGATGGGGCGATTAAAAATTTTAAGTCATTCGGTCCCCTTTTAGAAGATTAAGTAGGTTTGCTCAAAAACAGTGAAAAATTTTCAACTTTTGAGATTTTTCTCAATTTTCCCATTAAATTAGGAATCGAATGGAAAAACCCGCAGGTCTCTACGACCACTCCTACCCCAAACATTATTATGAGTGAGTGAGTCAGTCAGTCGGATTGGGGCTATATAGGTTCTTGATTGATGAGTGAGGGAGTCAGTCAGTCGGATTTTGGGGCTTTATAGGTTCTTGATGACAATTGATGATTGATTTTGAGTATGTTGCCGGTGACGGGGACCCGATTGCGGCCCAGTTTCGGAAATGTCTCGACCAGACCTACCGATGGGGCGAATAAAAATTTTTAGTCGGTCGGTCCCCTTTTTTGAAGATTGAGTGGATTTTGTAGAATTTAGGCCTATTTAATCGTTTTTGAGGATGTTGCCGGTGACGGGGACCCGATTGCGGCCCAGTTTCGGAAATGTCTCGACCAGACCTACCGATGGGGCGAATAAAATTTTTTAGTCGGTCGGTCCCCTTTTTTGAAGATTGAGTGGATTTTGTTGAATTTAGGCCTATTTAGTCGTTTTTGAGGATGTTGCCGGTGACGGGGACCCGATTGCGGCACAGTTTCGGAAATGTCTCGACCAGACCTACCGATGGGGCGAATAAAAATTTTTAGTCGGTCGGTCCCGTTTTTTGAAGATTGAGTGGATTTTGTTGAATTTAGGCCTATTTAATCGTTTTTTGAGGATGTTGCCAGTGACGGAGACCCGATTGCGGCCCAGTTTCGGAAATGTCTCGACCAGACCTACCGATGAGGCGAATAAAAATTTTTAGTCGGTCGGTCCCCTTTTTTGAAGATTGAGTAGGTTTGCTCGGAAACGGTGAGAAATTTGTTCCCCTTTTCTGAAGATAAAGTAGGTTTTCTCGGAAACGGTGAGGAATTTTCAACTTTTGGGATTTTTCCCAATTTTCCCATAAAATTTGGAATTGAATGGAAAAAACCGCAAGTCTCTACGACCACTCCTTCACCCCAAACATTTCTATGAGTGAGTCAGTCAGTCGGATTGGGGCTTTATAGGTTCTTGATGATATAGGTTCTTCATTGATGATTTTGAGGATGTTGCCGGTGACGGGGACCCGATTACGGCACAGTTTCGGAAATGTCTCGACTAGACCTATCGATAGGGCGAATAAAAATTTTCAGTCGGTCGGTCCCCTTTTTTAAGATTGAGTGGGTTTGCTCGAAAACTGTGAGGAATTTTCAACTTTTGGGATGTTTTTCCATTTTTCCACAAAATTTGGAATCGAATGGAAAAAAACACATCACATCGAAACTTATCCTTTGCGGGCCAAAAATGAATGGAACCAATTTTACTCTGCATAACATCAATTAATTGCATCACGTCACAGATAAGAGAAACCCTTTGGAAATCACAGGGGCTGTGCAAGGGACGCGGCGATGCACGTCTGGGCCTGGGCCACGACCGCGGCGGAGATCTTCTTGCCCTCGAGGCAGGGCACGATGAAGTCGACGAGGGTCTCCTTGGGGTAGCCCTCGTCCGCATGGCCCAGGGCGTGGTTGCGGCAGTCCGAGGCGGGATCCGCGTACGGGGTCTCGGGGATGGAGGACAGGCACACCTCGATGCGGCTGCTGATCTCGTCGCGCTGCTCGGCGGAGTAGTCGGCCTGCAAATGCCGTTCAAATCAACTCACAGTGGTCTCGTCCGACAAATAGTCAATATTTTAAAAATTCACTCAGATTCCAAACGCTATGAATGTAGCACGTATGGTGCAATGCGCTGAGATATCGCACTACACGTGCAATGCCACAGCCATATTGCACCTTAGGTGCAATGCTTACCAAAACTGCCCTATGCCAATGCATAGGAAAGTGGGGCATTGCACCAATTGACGCTATACTCATAGCGTTTGGATTCTCAGTGTTCTGACTGAATAACCGTTCGGCGTGACACTGAAACCCTGACGTCACCACTGGAGAGCTGTTGCAACGAACGCACCTCTTCGAGTGCGGGCTTGAGAGGCACGGCCATGGAGTCCACGAGGCACTCCTCCACGGTGGCCACAGTGTCGTTGGGAACATTCCTCTCCTTCAGGCACGAAGCAACGTCAGCGGGCACCATGTCCTGGGCGAGGCCGCCCACCAGGCTCCAGCGGGTCTCCATCAGGCACATGCCGGCGGGGAGTTCGAAGCTGCTCTGGTCCTTGACGGGCTTGAGGCACACCTCGATGCGCTCGGCCATCTCGTATATCTGGTTGAAGGCGTAGTCGTCCTGCTCAAAATGGAGGGACACCAGTCCAATAAACGGTACAACGGAATTATATCTTAACAAATAGAGACAAAAAAGGAGTAAAAATGTTACTAAAGAAAAATCTTTCAAGAGTGTTTTGGCGCTCAAAATAATGAACATTTTGCAGTGACTTGCTGTTGCGTGAGCTGCATTGATGACCCACCGAAAGTCACCATGTGAGAACGTCACAAACATTTTCTCGCTCGAGACTGGTAAACATTCGTTTTGTAAGGCAGCTTTGTGAAGCTGCTAAACTAGACCAACTACATAAATCGACCGACAATCTCTGAGGGCTAGATTTTCACATGTTATCGTTAAGATTCTGAGGCAAGCATTCAGAACGTAGCTCAATCGTGATTTTGTGGCAACTGCAGCAAAGTACTCACTGCGAAGGCGGCCGCCACCAGGCCCACGACAAGGAGAAGGGAACGGATCATGTTGCTGCGGTGTCAAGTCGAAGCTGATTGAGTGGACGGCATTCATTTGTATTTAAAGGAAACGGGCGCGACGATTACGAATGGGATGTGTTACCAGTTGGCGTGGTTTCCATTTCAAGGAATCGTGCTTGTGGTGGCATTTGAACGCCCTGAGCACACATGGAGGCAAACAAAAGCGATGCCGCAGACCGCGGTAACTTGAGACACGGCATCAAAGTCGTTAGGCATCTCATGTTACGTCGGTTTGCGATGCGCGCGATGGTGCTAAACTGGCTCACTGCTCTTCTTGTTTTCTTTGTGGCAATAAAAGGGTTTTCTCGGTAATCGAGCCACTTGCGCCACGTGTTTTACCTCGTCACTGCACAGTAGGCCAGAAGACCAGCATACACTGTTAAAACAAGGTAGGTTTACGCCAGACCGCGTCTTGTCGTAACAGGCTTCGCGATGTGTCGCTGCCTGTTCCTCCAATCCGCGCCTGGCGTACCTACCTTGGCCTGCGGCGCTAGGCTGCCTTCGGCAGACAATGCTTGCCCACCATCAG